AAGTATGTGAGTATACATATATACACACACACACATATTTTACATAGATAACCCATTGTGCCTAATTGAAAATAACTGGCCTCAAAATGGATTATATAGAAGGTCCCTTGGTAATTCTATACATTTTGATTTTTTCCATTTATCGCTTTAAAGTTCCAGAAACCAATCTCAGTTATAGTAAAATTAGGAAATCATTATATAGGTATCACTTATTATTATAAATAACTACCGTTACCCCATTTAAAAATTACACATTTTTGTGTATTTTTATTTTCTGAGGACTAGTGTAAGAGAAAAAAAGGGGTTTCAATGAAAATTTCATGTAAATTACACCAAAAATAAAGTAACAGTCTTACCAAGATCTAAGTGCAAAAATGATTATTATTTGTACTTTAACTATCATTACAGGTAAAAAAAACTTAAAATGATAACTACTTGTATTTCAGCTCAACAAAACTACTGCGTAAGAAAGTTTAAGTGGCTCTCCTAATGACAAGTGCTACTTTTCATAATTAAAAAATGTTTAAAAATATGTCATAAATGTTTTTTGCTTTCTGTATGAGTGTCCACCACTAAATATGAAGCTATCTAATCAGCCAAAATAATCTAATGTATTATTGCTGACATCATTGTGAAATATTCAAATAACTCTATAAATTGATGTTTTTTCAAAATAAACAGCATACGTGTTTAAACTGAAATTCGAACATACGCACTCATTTTCGTAAGTCAAGTTTTTCTGACTGGAATAATTTATTGAGAAGTATTTTGGTAAATTACTGAAAGGTTTGTCATTTTATGTTAAACAGGTATCAAGCCAAGAACATTAAATTATTTTTCCCCTCCAGCGCTGCAGCAAATCACTATTAATACTATTGCCTGAGAATATGAAAGAAAACAGATATTTTTCTCTACAACTGTATGCTGAAAATCAGCAGAAAATACATATTATATTTTGATAAGCCTGACTACAAGTCAGCTTTCATGCTTTGTCAAACTTTCCAATAATTCCCAAAGAACAAGTTAAAATATTCTGGAAAACAATTTTCATTTTATCTAATTTTTAAATTTTGGGGTTCTCCCTTACTGTAAATTTAATGGAGTGGCCAAACTTTCACAAAAGCAGTTGGGTGGTGCTACTGTAAGGTATAAAACTTCTCAGCTGATCTAGCTCCACCTCCTCCTCCTCTTTCTGAATAAATTTGCCTGTTGGAATGTATAAAAGTTCATGCCACCATATTTATTAAAGAAAACTGTGGTGTGATGAACAGGGCATTTGATCTGGAATTATGTTTTTTTATTTCCAGGCCGGCTTCTGCCTCTTACTGACACTTCCGTGTGCCTTGGTTATGTCCTGTGTAAAATGTTGATAATAACTGCTCTACATCATCGTGTTTTTGTGAATAGCAAATAAGACTATGTTTGGAAAAGCTAGTTAAATATAAAGTCGTGGTATTCACTAGAGAACAAACAAACTTGCACCATTTCTCTGCACTTGGCAAAGTAACCCAACCATCTGAAATCTGCCTCTTCTCCTTATGACCTTGAGAAAAGCACCAACAGCAAAGTGCTGTGGATCCCAGGTAATGCCCAGGATGCATCCTATTAGAAAAAAAAAAGTATCCAAAGCCACTTCTTGCCTTTCTACTCTCCCCTTCTAGCTCTGTCAGTAAAGGTGATTTTGAAAGTTACCCTAGACCTGAACTTTCATAAGGGGCCCTAACGTGGGACGCCATGCTGTGCGGTTCTGGAAGTGGGGTCCTGCGGTTTCAGCATCACTTGGGAACTTGCTAGAAAGGTAAATTATCAGCCCCACCCCAGACCTACTGAATCAGAAACTCGGGGGTGGGGCCCAGCAATCAGCGTTTTAAGAAGCCCTCGGGGCGATTCTGATGGATGCACTGTTTAAGTTTGGAAATCACTGCCTGTAGCATCCTCCGGATGCGTCTATAAATGGCTCATGAGTCCAAATTGCCAGCTACCTTCTTCCATAATTCTGCAGCTGCACCGAAGTGACAGGTGAGGGTGAGAAGAAACTCTCTTCCCCGCGCTTGGCCTCAGCCTTCCTCGGGGAGACACGCCACGTGGAGAGCCACACCAAACACTAGGTGTGCGCGCTCCTCAGCCCCTGCCCGGAGGCGGATCAGGGCCTTGCCGGTCCCATTACCTGCACTAGCGTCATCTGCGAGCCGAGGGCCAAGAGTATCTTCTCGGTCTTGGTGGGGTACGGGTTGTCTCGGTGCTTGTAAAGCCACTGCTTGAGGGGCCGCGCCATGTCTTGCAGGGCCTGCCGCTTGTGCCTCACCTTCCCGCCGTTCTGCCGGGCCCTGGGACACCGGAGAGAGGAGGCCGGGTGAGCCGCGCCGTCGGGGGGCCGCCCGCCCGGCACCCCGGGCACCAGCCCTGCGTGCGCCCTCGCTCCGGGAGCCCCGAAGTGGGGCGACGCAAGGGATGGAAGCCCCAGTTTCTGGGTGGGGTCGGCGCTTTCAGCACCTCTTTTCGCAATAGCCTGCTTGTCGCAGGGGGTCACGTGGCAGTGCAGGACGCCGGCTTATCTTGAAAAGGGGGATACCTTGAACCCAGTAACCCCAGGTGAGAGGTTTAGGAGAGGATGGTTAAACGATTTGAAGAAAACTGCTAATCTAGTTGCAGATCCTGGGCAGAATGCTAATTAGTTACCCTTCCCCTGCCTGCTGACACCCGCCCCGGGCTGGGCAGGGTCTGCTGCCTGCTCTTGAACGTTCTCCGAGGAGCTCCTGCCTGTCACCTGGGGCTTCCTGGTGCCCGTGTCAAAGGAAAGGGTGCCCCCTGGACAGCGGGAGTAAAGCAAAGGATGACAGCTGTTTCCTCGGATCTTCTAGAGAAAGGGGGGAACTTTCCACAGGGTTTGTGGAAGACGGATGCAAACCCCAAAAAACACCGTAGGGGCAGTTTCCCGACTCAGGGAGAGTTAAAGTATGGCAAGCTGTTCCTTCAGGTGAAGTGAGACGACCTCAGTTCAAGCATATTCCAAGAGGGGAGGCAGCAGCAGCCAGGCCGCAGCCGGGCGTCGGGAGATGCGCTCCCCGGCGGCTCCGGGAGGTGTCGCCGCGCTGCCGCCCGCGCCGCTCGGGGAGGCTCGGGGCGGCTGACGCGCCTGCGCCGGAGCCTCCTAGGCTTCTGCCTCTTTAAACACTTCGAGATGCAATTCCGCCCGAGCCGGCTGTAGTACCGTTTGGACGAAACCTAATCTCTAGTTTACTAAGCTGCAACGCCGCAGAGCGAGCAGCTGATGCAATCGTCCAGGTGGAGACCGCCAGGACGGCCACCCCTCCCTCAGGGGCGCTCCGGGAGCCGCCGGACAGGCCGGGCAGAGGCTTCCCCCACGCGCCGGCGGCCGGGGCAGCTGCCCCCCGCGAGTTCCCGCCCCCGGACCCCCCCCCCCGCATAAACCGAAAGCGGCAGGCCCAGAGGAGCCACGCGCCGGGGACACCCTGCGGGGAGCCGACCTTCCCGACACCTTGGGCCGGGCCTGGCGAATAGCCGGGTGGTGGCGAGGGCCTCTCGTGACAAAATGGGAAGATCGCGGGGCCCGACCTGGGAAGCCCCGACTGCTTGGCCTTGCCCGGTTTCTCCGCACCCCGGTCAGTCCCTTCGGCCTCGCCCCTAGCCGCGCGCGGGCGCCCGCGACCCTCAGGAGTCCAGGTAGCGGGGGACCGAGGGGTAGTACACGGTGCCCTCGGCTTGCAACAAGCCTCTCTGGAGCTGTCCTGACGAACTGACCCCTCGCGTTTTGATAAACGGATCCCTTAAAATGAGAACGCGCGAGCCCAGGAGGCGCAGACCTGAGTGCTCGGGCAGTCCGTGCCCCTGACCCGGGCCCGCCTGTGCACTTGACCCGCGCGCCGCTCGCCGCTCGCCGCCCCCACCGCGCCGGGCCGCAGGCGGGCAGGGTGCCAGGCGTGCACGTACCCGGTCCTCCGGTGTCTCAGGCCGAGGTTGTCCTTGAGGGGCGGGCCGTCGGGAATGCCCACCTCGGGGCGGGCGTGGGGACTGTCCAGGACGCCACCGTAGGGCCGGCCGCCCCGCTCCCGCTCCGGAGCGCCTCCGTCCTCAAAGAGCACGGCGCCGCTGAGCTTGTTGAAGACGATGGTGTTCATGGTGCGGGCTGGCAGGGACGCGCGGCGCGGCCGCAGCGCCTGGGGGCCGGGCCGCCCGGAGCTCCGCAGCAGGGCTCACGTTCTAGGGGAGGAAAGCGCAGCACGTTACTTACTCGCCGAGCGTGCGCGGACCTCTACTGTCCCGGCTCCCAGCTCGGCCCTGGCGCCCTGCCGCCACGAAGGGGAAAGAAGTTTCGCCGCTACGGGACTAGGGACCCCTCCCTCTCCCCACCTGGCTACAGCCGGCCGGCACACTCCCGGGACAGGCACCTGCCTTCCTTCTCGTCCCGGCGATGCAGCCAGGCCCCCCACTCTCGCCCCAAGATCTTCCACTGGTAATGATTTTCCCCCAAAACAAAGGAAAGAAATTCCCAAATGAGTCTCCGAGTCTGGGTTTGAACCTGGCGCATACTCCGGATAGCGGAGCGGGGCAGGCGTGGGGCCGCGCGTGGTTCTTCAGTCACAACAGGATTAAAGGCTCTCGGAGCCCTCACTCGGGGCGTCAGGAGGGGTTGGGAGGAAGGGAAGATTTGGGGTTGTGAACTACCGCATCCGCAAGGCCCAGTTAATGACTCCTGGGCCATACCGGGATTTCGGGGATTTTCACGTTTTCTAGATCCTGGATGGTTTGGCCGGAACCCCCGCATCTTCTTTCGGTTACTATGCCCCGGGATTGGGGTGAGGGTAAGGACAAGAAAAGTTAAGTGGCATCAGGACAAATGCACCACATTTTCCCCCTTCTCTCCCCAGGTCTTCCTATTATTCGCTTGCCCGCCCGGGACGCGCAGGATCCCGCAGGTCCACGGTGCTGGGACTCGGGCCGCCCAGAGCCTGCGGTCGAGCTTGTCCTCTTCTGCAGCAGGGGTGCCAGACACGAGCTCGAGCCCCTGCACACCCGCCCCTCTCTGGGGTATCCAGGGACCATTTCGGGGTCTGTAGAAATGTCAGAGGCCGAAGGTCGGGCAGGGGCAGCACGGTCCACCCACCTCCCGGCCTGCGGCTGCCACCGTCCCACAGACCCTGCAGCTCACCTCCAGGGTCGCGGCGGCCAGAGGCCCGTGCCCGCCGCGCGCGGGCGTGGAGAGGAAGTCCGCACCGCCTCGGAGCAGCCGAATTACGGCCCCGAGGCGCGCGGCCACCGTCCTCCGCCCCATCTGCCCGCCTCGCCCCTCCAGGCAGCTCCCGTTTCCTCCGAGCGGCCTCCGTCTCGCTGCCAGCGCCTCCGCAGCCCGCCCTGGCACAGCGCGGGCTGCCCCCCCAAACACACACACACACACACACACACACACACACACACACGCATACACACACATACGCACACACACAGAGACACGCGCGCGCGCGCCTCGACGAGCGCCCACACTCGCCAACGCTTCCTGCCCCGCCCTCCGGCCACCACAGCAGCGGCCACGCGCGACATTCAGGACTGTGGCCACAGCTAATAAACCACGGCTACCATCAGTAATTCGTGGGAAAGGGAAGTCGGACCTCTGTGGGCCGCCGCGTGTCCCCTAGGACTGAGTGCTCCCGCGCAGACAGGTACGTGCCGGGGGTGTGCACACAGCCTCAGCGATAAGTGTCCAAGCAATTTCCATGCCCACCGCCCCTGTTCTGCAGTCAGGACCCGCCGTGTTTTCTTTTTAAATCAGTGCGCATGGTGATGTGTATTCACGCTGCTTTAGTTGTACAAGACGCCCTTCCCCAGCCCGTCCTTCTGCCCCCGACTCGGCGCTGTCCTCTTAAATACAACGACGTGTTTTTCCTAGCGAAAGCACGCCGAGGTTTGCCAGCTCGGACCCTTCCCCGGCTGTGCCAAACCCACAGAGATCGCGCTACTGACACTGGGCACAGTGTGGGTCTGCAGGCAGCAGGCGCAGTGGCAGACGGTGGCAAAGGTCCGAGAGCTCGATCCTGTCGCAAGGGGTCTGGGGACATGTGAACCGCAGCTCCTAACCCTCCCCGGGCGCCGGAGCGTGGTCCCCCGCCCCTCTTCTCAAGTCACTTACCCCGATTCACTCCAGACTGTGGCTGGGAAGCTCACTCCCTGCGGAACTGCGCCGCCCCACGCCCGCGAATAATTTTAACGCAAAGGAGGCGCGGCCAGGTGGGCTCCCAGGCTCCTCGCAGACCCTTGGGCCAGCCTTGGCGGCCACCTGGGCGCGTCCTTACCGGACCTCGGAGGGAGGTGGGGGAAGGGCGGGGGGAGCCGAGCTGCCCCGGCAGAAGGAAGGTGCGGCGCGGGGGCCAGAGCGAGCCTCGCTGGCCGAGGGGGGCACGCGGCGACGCGAGGGCTGTACCTGTGGCGGCGGGGCCGGCGGCCGGCGGCTGGGGGGCTGGCTGTCCCGCGTCGAGGCTAGGCGCACTCCCATCCCCGCCGCATGCTCTCCGCGCGGGCTCCAGCGCGCTCACCACCGCCACCGCCGTCGTCTCGGCTTTATTTACCCAGACCGGCGCGCGCGGCCCGGGAACAGGAATACCGAGGCCTTCTCATGTTTCCTGGCTGCCGGGCCCAGCCGGCGAACATCCTGCGGGCGCCGTATCCACGTTCCCGGGCCGGCGGAGAGGAAGCGTCCGCGCCCACCGGGCCGCGGGGGCTGCTATTAACCCTCGCGGAGGAGCCGCCGCCCGGGCGCCGCCGGGGAGCCCCGGGCCCGCCTGGTCCGCCCCAGCCCGGCGCGGCTCCCAGACCCGCTGGCCTCGCAGTCGCGGCGCAAAAGGGGCCGTTTCCTTCGCACTTAGGGGAGAAATTGGAGAAGCCGCCGGGAGCGCTCGACTCTGGCTCCGGGAGCTGAGAGGCTGCGGTGCAAATCCCGTGTCTTAGCTGGCCGGAGTGCCGGAAATTTCAGCACGCGTGGCTAGGCGGGAGAGGCCACTGTGACGCGCCCTACGGTTTCCTCGAGATTAGCTGGAGCGAAGTTAGTTAGAGCTCGGGTTTGCGCCGACAACGCCGGAGCGTATTGCGGGAGGTGCTTGCGCCCTGGGAGCCTCTTTTTTGGTGTCACTGGGCTTCTGAGGTCCTGCTTGTCTCAGTCAAGGCCAGGCACACACTCACCTCCCGGGGCAGGCGCGGGTGAGGCTGCATTCCCTGCCGGGCGTAGGGATGGGTGAAGGCAAGAATGGAACGAGGTGAGCCCAGGTGCCCAACCCACCGTAATCCAGGTGTGGAAGAGAGGGCGCGCCCAGAGCCAGGGATCTGCACGCAGCAAAAGGGACGGAACTTGGAAGAATCCCGAGCTGGGGCACAGTGCGAGGAGACAATCAGATTTTCTTATTGATGATGCTTTGCTCCCCCCCCCCAAGTATAAGAGAAGCGAAAGCTGAGGTTTAGGTGCAATGGCAAGCTCAGAGCTTCTGGCAGCCTAGAAGATCCCTAAGGCGCCGGGCACCAAGCCGCGGGCCCTGCCGCCCCAGCGACCTTTCCTCTTTTTTTAAAAGAGTGATTTTAGGTTTTCCCAAACTCTAAGCTATAGCATCATTTGTCCTTTTTCTCTCTAAAGGTGGCTGGCCAGTGCTGGGGCAGCGGCCCACCTAAGCACCTTCCTTTTATGTGGCCTAGAAGTGGTTAATATATACGCTAAAGCTATTATTTCCAAGACTAATCACACCCTCGAGTTTTCAAATATGTTATCTCCCAAAGTACGCGGTAGCAAGCCAGGTCGTGGCACAACCTAAAGCCGAGAGGAATGTAGGTTTACATTTTTTTGCGCACCAGGCAGAGACATACTATCATTTGATCCCCTTTCCCGATGTCCTCGGTTCTCGTTTATTATATAACTTGCCTTTGCAGAGCTCACGTCTTGTCCTTGGCGCCGCACTTGCGCTGCGGGCTCACTGCAGGCTTCGGTGCGCAGATCTCGCTGTAGGAACTTAAAGACGGGATCCACCGCACGGTTTCAGCCACCGATTTTCAGCGAGTAAGTTTCACAGCAGAGGGAGATCTAACTGATATTTAATTGGAGGAAAGAGTCGCATTCTCTTATATGGTCTCTATGAATGATGTTGGTCACCAGACATTATAATGCAATCAGCTGTAACACGCGCCTCTGACATTTTTTGGTCAGCTGTCCCAGGTAAAGCAACAGGCATGTACATAGTTGCTTGCAATTTCACAATATTCTACTGATTTATTGAGCTCCATGCTGTAGTCTGTGCTAGTACAGGACAAATAAATTCCGTTGTTTTCATACTTACCTGTATTTACACAATTTTAAAGTGCATTTAGAGGACTTTGATTTAAGAAATATTTACATGTAAGATTTGTTTTATTAAAATCTGAAATATGATGTATAGCAAAAATGTTTTTGTTTGGTACAGGAATAATATATACCTGAGTTAGTAAGTCTCAGGTTAAGTCACTGAAAAATTAATATATGATAATTCCTTTAGACTATGGTTTAATAATTAGAGTCCATTTTAAAATGAAAGAACAATGGAAGATTCATTCTAGAAATGAAATGGTAGGGAGTATCTTTCTGTAGTGTACAAATGAGCATTTATTTTGTAATAGACTAAACTTTTGTTCTTACAAATTTTATCCTCAATGCAAGAGGGAAGTTTCTTCTTCATTTTAATCCACAGTTCTAATACACTGATCATTATATTTTCATGATCTAAAATGATTTTACTCAGCTTCTTGTGCTGTATTACAATCTCAGTATATTAAATGCTGCATTATAATCCTCAGAAGAAAAAATTTCAGTTTCATAAAACACTGTTGGAAGATTTGAGAAAGTATATGTAGTTTGCGGGAGATGACCCTGTGTAGGAAAAACCATAATCTAGACCAGAAGTCAGACTTGAGCATTTATCTTAATTCTGGTCAATGTGATGCTGGTTTGGCCTGAATTTATTAAATCATGCAATGGAGATAAGAAGTATTCCACAAACTTGCCTCACACTATTATTAAGGTATTTTTCAGATGTGGAAGTAACATATTGCTATTGCTAAATCTAAAAAGATATTAAGTAAGAACATTTGGCAGAAATAGTAATCCATTATATAGGACTTAGAGTATAGCTATAAATATATGTATTTTTTACTTACTGGTAAAAAAAAAAAAAAGAACTCTTGAGTTTTAACATTTCGATATTTTACCAAGGTACCCTGACATTTCAGAATAAATATTGGGCAAAGTGTTTGAAAATAATGAGTGCTTTTAAAGCCCTTTTCCAGTTATTAGTTATGGGCAATGAAATAAATTGCAAAGCCAGAGGATGACTGCCACTTCCAGCTCAAATGGTGTAAAATAGTAAGTTTATGAACAAACAGCAGGTTCACCTCACACTTGGCCAGTTTGACTGGTGGAGATACGCATTGGAATGTAAGTGGAACAACATAACAAGCAGTGAAAGATACAGCTGTGAAACATTGTGAGCAGAGTAGTAGAATGGGTGGCCCCAAAGTGTTGCAAGGTGTTTTTGCTTTGTTTGTAATTTAATTTTGTAATGTAATAAATGATGCAGAATAAATAACACCTTCTCTCAGGGAGGGCCTTTTCCATTAGTTCAGTGTCAAACAAAGAACAGAATACAAGTGAAAGCCCCTCTTCGCCACCTCCACCCCGTCATTCCCCAGAGGAACCACTAAGAGATGGCCATTGCAGGTTTGATGTGCATCCTTTCAACCTCTTCTATTCATTCACATACATAAATACAAACAAAATTATAGTTTTGCTTTATGAGTTTTTAAAATAAATGAGACCATACTGTATACAATTGTACACACACACACACACATGCAGGATTAAACTAATATTTGCTTTTTCACTATTTCATAGAGAACTTTTGTATCAGTATGTATAAATATAAGTCCTTCTTTTGATAAACTGTGACGTAATGTTCCATAATCTACTTAACCATTCTCCTATGAACATTTTTGTCTTTCCAATTTTCACTATTATAAATATTAAATAGCCTGTATATGATTCTTGCTGCATATGCATAGGTATTTCATTGGGAATAGCTACCGAGAAGTAGAATTTCTGGGTTCAAGGAAACATGATTTTTAAATTTTGATACATACTTCCAAGTTTCCCTCCAATCCACACCGCCACTGACACATGCAAATCCCTATTTCCTCACATGCGACCCAGAGTCATGTATGTTCAGTCTCTGTTTGCCTAGATGATGAGTAAAGCAGTGCCTCATTGTTTGAGAACCTTTTCCTTTACAAGCCATTTGTATTTCTTAATTGAATTGCCTTTGCTTATATCCTTATTAGATGGCTTATTGATTTATAATGATTATTCATAAACCATTTTTCCATGATATATGCTTTATATATTCAAAATATGTTACCTGGTCTGTGGCCTGCCTTTAACTTATTTTATCTGTTTTTCAGAAGGTATAATGTCAATATAGGTCAATATGTCAGTCTTTTCCTTTTTTGATCCTGGGTTTTATGTCTCGCTTAAGAAGGCTTTTTCTATATTTTCATCTAATACTTTTAAAATTGGTTTTCACTTGGCTTTTTAATCCTTCTGGAGTTCATTTATGTATGTTGTGAGGTAGAAATCTAATTTGATTTTTTTTCTTTTCCAATTGAATAGCCAATTACTCCTATAGGATTTATTAAAGAGTTTCTCCCCATTGATTTGAAATAACTTTTCTCATACATATGGTGAATTAATTTCCATATGTAGGTTGGTCTAACAAGGCTTCAGGAGACACTGCGAAAAGCCCAACATACTCTAATAAAATTTGTCTTTAATTTCTGAAAACAATCTCATACTCCAAAGACTTCCCATATTACACTGTTTCTAATGTCAGAACATGTCAATATTGGCATACTTAGGTGCATTGCCTGGTCATGGTTCTAATTTGGATGATTGATTCAACAGTGTTCTAGGATGAGGCTGCCGTTTATCGACTCACAAGCAGGAGAGCAGTTTCTCTGGAGCAGCTGTGTTCTCTAGTGCACAGTGTGACTGCACACAGCTTTTCAAACACATTGTACAACAAAGAAGTTATATGGAACCTACCATAAGCAATATAGGATTTTTAGTAAAAGTGATGAATCTTTGCACCCATGTTCTGAAAAAATAAAATACATCTCCCTCTTTGCTTGATTTTTTATGGACTGTGAATTAGTTTTTTTCCACAAAGGAGCTGGTCAAGGTAAAAACCCCTGGCAATGATTATATATGCGTCAAATTCACTCTGGACAAAAGTGCAAGTACTCTGTTGCCACATTTTAAAAAACAAAACATTGGCTATGCGTAAGTGCAGAAAATACAAATAATAAGCAATTGATAGAACTGAGATCCAAGTGGATTAATGTCTTGTTCTACTTCAGATCCTGCTTCAAATAAGACTTGTCGTGACCCCTGAGTTCCAACAACACTTTTGTTCTCTCGATACCAAAGATCTTCAGTAACCTGTAACAGTCTACTAAATCACACACAAGAAAATATACTATGTGTTGGGGTCTTGAAGGGAACCTGGAGAACATTTCAGTGAACATTTAAATACTAGACTTACTTTCAGAAGACTAATCTAGCTTGAAAATCAATTTGCCTTTACTTCAAGAAGTGTCCGTTTTAATAAATATAGTGAAGATGTTTGACCAAAGGCTGGGAGGACTCTACATGTGGAACCAATGGCCTTCAGGCAACCTATATATATATATTTTTTTTCTTTTTTATTTATTATTCCAGGGTTTTGTGAGGGTACAAACATTATAGTTACACTTTATGTCTTTGCCTCACCCAAATGCTGGTTAAAGGCGTGCCCTTCCCTCCCTTTAGTGCTCTCCGTGTCCTTTAGTTGTAGATTTGCTCCCCAATCCTCCTAATCCCTAGGGAGTATTTCTGCCATGTGATCAACCTAGTGTTGATCAGTTAGTACCAATTTGATGGGGAGTACAAATGGATCCCGTTCTTCTGCTCTTTTGGTGCCCCACTTTGGATAATGGGCTTAAGTTTAATCCAGGAAAGTATAAGAGGTTCTAGATCACTGTCGTTTCTTATGATTGAGTAATATTCCATTGTAACATATACCAAATTTTAATAATCCACTCATGGATTGATGGGCACTTGGGTTGTTTCCACATCCTTGCAAT